AATTTCCCATTCATCCTGTGAGACATGCTGCTATGCACACATTTTTTATGAAATCGCTTAAATTTGTTTTTGTTTTCGATTTATTTAAATTTTTATTAGCCGCACGTGGCACTTATTACGCCAACAAGACAATTTGTTATTCGTGGTTTAAGCGGCTTCCTGCCAACTGTCGCACCAACCGCCAGCAAYCGCCTCAGCTTCGTCGTGGATTCACTTCAGCACTTGAAACAGTTGCAGTAGTGGCAGCAGAGTCTAACGGCTGTTGGTGGCACGCGACAYTCACGCCATCGCCACCGCCACGAACACAATGACTTAAGGACTTGTGGCAGTAAGCACTCAAACGCTCAACCAGTTAGCCAAACAACCGCAGTCGTATGTATGTGCGGCCGACCTGCAGCGCTGGTTACTCGCTTGATTAGTTTACCTTGCTAGCCTGGGCGGCACGTGCGGGTGTGGTAAGTGGCGACAGGCGCCWGTCAAAGCTTACAAGCCGATTGCCTTTGCTTTCGGTTTCCACAATYCACTYTGCCCCTTTGAAGGAACGTTTCGTTGTCTACGAAGAATGGTCGGCTAACGGTTACGGTGTYATCGCCACTTGCACGGACTGTTGCGCCTTTTGTCGTGTAATTACGTTATTATGATATTCAAATATGGCTCAGTGTGTGGCGCACGTCATGTCACGTGGCCATGTTATGATACCACAAATGCTCGGCTACCGCCAACACTGTCACGCCTACGAAAACTCTGACAGACTCGGACACTTGAGTGCGAACAAGAGCCGAAGTGCTTAAACGCTCGTGAATGAGCAGCAATTCAAAGGGTTAATTTATTGAATTAGTGCATTAGATAATATTACACAGGCCGCTGAGTTTTCACCATTTAACGGTGTGAAGTTGTTTAAAAAGCAATTAAGTCCAATAATAAGCAAAAAGGGGGCTTAAGGACTATATAAATAAATCATACTAACAAAGCAGATACGAGCATAATAAAGATTATTCAGTTACATCCCTTCCTAGAACTTTAATAAGGTCTACATTTTTGGTTATGAGTTGTTTATCTTTGCTAATATGAATGTGTACCCTGCGTAAGGAGACAAAAACGAACGAAATATACATTGGCGRCTCTATTGGAATCTGAAATTTTGGATTTCCAGTCCTAAATGATATAAAAGAGCAGTTTGGATAAAACTTAAGCGTCTCACGTAATAACCTGGAACTTAAGAAATTTCTATTCTTGAACCCTATTTTTGACGGTTTTCAAGCATAAATCGGGCGCTGCTTTTGCAATTTCACGGTCGCTATTCGTACAAAGTTCATCAATCGTCGCTGGCTTTCAGGCATAGACCATAGTAATCCCGCAGAAAGTAGTCTGACGGCGCTAAATGGGACGATCGAAGCGACCAGTTGACTGGACCATTTCGTGAGATAACAAGTTCTTTTTTGGTTAATTTTCAATAAATAKRTTGTGATATTCGCTGTRGAGCTTGAGGCGCCGTCCTATTGWAACCACATATTGTCCAAKTCCATATTATCCWGTTCGGGTMAAAAATATTCSGTTATCATTGCACTGTAGCGGTTCCTATTCACAGTAACGTGCCGGTCTTGATTATTAYGGAAGAAGTACAGTCAATGTCGCCGCCGGCCCATAAGCCGTAATTTTTTGTGGATGCAATGGTGACTTATGGAGTATGTGTGGATTGCTGCCTGACCAATTATGCATATTTTGTTTATTGACGAAATAATTTGCCTAGAAATGAGCCTCATCGCTGAAGATGATTTTTCGATGAAAACTCGGATCATTTTCAAGTTGTTGCTCAGCCCAATTCACGAACATACGACGCTTCTGATGGGCAAGCGGCTTCAGTTCTTGCAATAATATGATCTTGTCAGAATGTAGGCCAAGATCTTTTCGCAAAATTCGCCACAACGACGTCACAGAGACGCCCAACGCTTGAAATCGACGTGTGAGAGACTGATTTAGGTCTTCCTCAATTGATACGCTAGCGGTAGCAATATACTTGACGCTGCGGGCACTTCTTTGTGTCATTTGAATTTTAATAATTTCGACTCGTTGTTGGATTCCATGATGTTCCATGATGAAACGACAAACATTATTATAGAGAAATGTCAAACAAGCGGGCAAAATATGGGGCCTTTTGCTGTTCCTATCGGACTACTTTTGTAGGGTCCCTATTGAAAAACCCGTTATATACATACAATGCAATATTATTTGTGGTCATTTGAAAGCCACCTCGAATGTACTAAGAAAAAGCGAAGAAAGATTCAACAAACAGTTTTGGAAACTCTTTTTTTCTTGTTTATAGGTGAAARCAAAGGATAATGTATCCAAATCATCAAAAGGGCACTATGCAATTTGTAAACCATATGAAAAGTAGATAACTATCGCTGCCCCGCTCTCAAGTTAAACATTTTACTGCCGATTAAATTATGTCAACGAGCGTAATCGCCTCTTCTCCATATATTAACAGCACTATAATAATTTATTCTATTTAACGACGTCTCCCTTGTGTCAGTGCCTTTCATCCACTCACCCACCTGCCCACAGCTTTCTTCGCATAAAGGAAACTTCCGAAATGATTACAAACCAATTCTCGGAACAATGAACAATCAAGATTCTCTATGGCATAATAATTTGCGGTTTGGATTGCAGAAAGAAAGAAATATCGCCATTAGGGCCACAACAAAATGGTCACTTCCTTACTTCTGTCAACATACGCATATGTGGTCTTACCAGTTTCTACCACATTTGCACATGCACTGCAACGGCCACAAGTGGTTACTGGTTGGAGAACCCTCACTTGGTTTGATGGACATTGAACGCATCGCGCCAGCGCCACAATTAGTCGCCAGCGGGCCGCTTGGGCAGTGGATAATCGTCAAAGTTCTTTATTCGTTGCCTTTCCGTTCGGCTTCCGGTTTGGTTTTTTGCATTTGGACTCTTTGTGTTGAAATAAACAAATTTGTATGCTTTCCCCCGGGGGTGAGCAAATACTTGGCTCAGTGAAATTGCTACCCACTCACTCACGGTGAACGCAMGCAGGAGTTGTTGGACTCGCGAAAAAGCGAGAGTAAATCAAATGTATCAACCCTTAAGCATGCGTCCGACATTGCCGCTGATAAGCCTCGAGGCGACACGTTGATGCGGACTTACCTCTGCTTGCCGTGCGTGTGTGCAAATGTGTGCGTGTGCGTTATACAAGTTTGGCTGTTTGTACGCGTCGCAATTTCATCGACAAACACAAAAAGAGATATAAAAACAAAAACAATTAGTAAAGAAAACCTTAAGCATATTCTGTTAATTTAGGGTTGCCAAGTGGTAGAAATTTAATATACGAGTTGCACTGACAGAGCATTAAAAAGCATTCTAGACTCCTACCAGACACACCGACCATGATTTTATTTAAGTATAAACTAATACAATCAATGACKTTRGAGCAGACGTTCSTTTGCCCGACCCTGAAGAAGTTCGAATAKCAATTATCCGTCTGAAGAACAATAAAACGGAGGGCTCGATGGATTCCAGGCCGAGCTATTCAAACACGGCAGCGAAGAACTGACAAGGAGCTTGGATCAATTTCTTTGTAGAATATGGTAGGACGAAAGTATACCCGACGATTGGAATTTAAATGTGCTCTGCCCAATCCACAAAAAGGGAGATCCCAAAACTTGCACCAACTACCATTGTACAGGCCTCCTCAACATCGCATACAAGGTAATATCGAGCGTACTACAAGTATGAAAGATTGAATCCCACAGTCAACAAACTGATTGGACCTAATGAGTGTGGGCTTAGTCCTGGAAAATCAATAACTGATTAGATATTCACCACGAGCCAAATCTTGGAAAAGACCCGTGAAAGGAGAATCGACACACACCACCTCTTCCTCGACTTCAAAGCTGCTTTTGATAGCACGAAAAGGAGCTGCGTTTAAGCCGCTATGTCCCGAAAGACTAATACAGCTGTGAAAACTGACGTTGAAGAATAGTAAAAGCTATGTTAGGATCGGGAAGGACCTCTTCGAGRCCTTCGATACGAAACGAGATTTCATTAATTTACCATAACAGACAATAATGTACAGTGTACACCTGCTGGCGCACGCCTACGATATTTACATGATTGGCTTCAACAACCACGCAAATTGAACGAGGGCAAAATGAAATATCTCCTGTCATCAAACAAACAGCGAAAAGGAAGAACGACTGGCTYTCTGTTGTAAACTCGGCCATAACCGCGTAAGCGGTGTCCACGCCAATAAAAAAAAAAGAAGAAAAATACAGACGGCAWTATACAACATATGGATCGGGGAACTGTATGTTAAGAGAGCTCAAGAGATAATAGGTATCAAATTTACTCGTATTGAACATTATGTATTAACTACCTCAATAAAAGATGGCTGTAAACACTGTGTTCAAGTGCAGCTCGCGCGCCACTCTTAGGAAAGACACGATCTATTTCTGAACCAACAAATAAGTTTATTTCACAAAATTTGGCAACTCTAATAAACATAAACATACGTACATTAAATCATAATTCCACTGTAGACTAAGACACAGCGCTACTACTTGCTTGCAGCACACACACACACACGCACATAGAATATCCAACTGATTGCAGCCAAATCTCWTTGATCGCGCAACAAGCATTAGTGCCGCTCGACCAAGTCATCCTTCCGATTGGTGACTACACTCACAGCTCACGTCGCTGGTGCCTCAGCATTGGGCGGGTTGTAAGGGTGGCGCGGCGATGGTAACGTCATTGACAACGCCATTCCATTGCGCGCGGCCGCGAAGCACTGCAATCATTGTAGTTGTTGCGGACTAGACCAACCCCTTGCAGTAATCGGCAGGATTTGAGATGGCGCCGCCACGACCGACATCAATACACAAGGGGTTGCACTGCTCGAACGGCTCATGAGTGCGCGCTAGCCAACGGGTTGTTGTGATGGTCGCACATCGAATATAAAACTAATGAGCGCTCTTAAAGCCCGTTTAGTTGGTAAAGAAACGCGCAACGGGCAACAACCGAAACACAAACRAGTGATCACACGACGAAAACAAAAAAACACACAAGATTACGTGCGTGAAAAATGCATGCTGCCGATACTGAATCGTATCGTTACTGGGTCGTCAAGTGAGCGAAGATTGCGTGTCTCGTCAAGCACACAATCGCCGAAGTGACAAGTGTTCAAAACTGACTGTTAGGTGAAAAAAATACTTTTAAATATAACAGCAAAATGTCTTCGTGCTATAGTGGTTTTGACGATCGCTCATTCGAGTTTGAAGATTCATCTGACGACAGCGGTTACGAGAAAAGTTTCGAAACCGACTGCAAAGTTACACCGCGTAAGCTCTGCTTCGATGCCAGCGTTGATTTCTATGCGACCTCCGAGTCGGCCATGCCTTCTGGTTGTTACAACAGCAGCGGTRTTGGCCAACTGTTGGAGCGCTCTTCATTTCCCGCACTGCTCGATGCCAGCAGCAATCATAGTACGCGCAGTGGACGCACACTCGTAGAGCATGTAATCAGCAAAGCACCACCGACAGAATCGGAGTTCGCGCCCAAGTTAACATCAACGCCAACAAAGAATGCCGCCGGCGCTGGAAGTAGTGATCAACCGACTGAACSACGTCCCAAGCGCAAATATGCCGTCGGYAAGAATCGCGTAACGCGTTCGCGGAGCCCCACCCAGGTGGTACGCATCAAAAAGTTTCGACGCATGAAAGCAAACGATCGGGAACGAAATCGCATGCATACTTTGAACGACGCCTTGGAGCGGCTGCGCGTCACGCTACCGTCACTGCCGGAGGARACGAAGCTGACGAAAATCGAGATTTTACGGTTTGCGCATAATTACATATTTGCACTCGAGCAGGTGCTGGAGAGTGGTGGYACCATCAATCTCGATCTGGAGAAACTGCAGAATTTCACACTCAGCGGAGAACGCATCACCAAAGAGCTGTTTGATGCCATTTTCGTTAACCCACAACCTTACACCAGTATCTATAGTATGGGCTGTGGGCTCAACGGACGTGTACCGTATGGGCTTCAGGAACAAATGCCGGCAACACACTCCTACTTGGAACAACAGCATCTGCTGCAACGCGGYCGCCCCCCACAGGGMTACGCATATGGTAGTGACATGCGCCCCTACAATGTGCAACACGAATCACATAAGCCRTTGGGCGATCGCTTGGYGGCGCATCCACATTTCTCTCAGGAGAAATACGAGCTGTACAAAAGCACCTTCGAGGCAGCAGCCAAYATACAATCCACCTCAGCTGCCATGTACACGGGCGGTATGTGTGCGCAGGAAGAACGAAATGAGACAGACATCTCTTCTGCCGGATTCACAACACAGCCGACATACACCCAACTCTCGACGAGCAGCAACTGTTATATCGCAGAGGATCAGTCGACGACAATTGCACCATCACCGCCCATGGTGAGGCAAGGGCGGGAGATCACGCAGACGTCAATGTTGCACCACACCAGCAGTTTCTACACTCAAACGCCACCTTGGAGGGACTACAACGAGCAGATGTTGAACACTAGCCATAGTAGCTTCGAACAGTACTCCCACGTATAGCAACGGGCGCACTTGTGTATTTTAGTGTATATAGTAAGGGGTTATTTGGGGAAGGCAGAAGGCCAATTGAGAGTACACATTTTCCATTTAGTTCACTGACAAAGTGAGGGTACAAAAAGAGACATATGCTGTTGGGTTTTGGGTTCTACGGATGACTTTCGGCACTCAATGATCTCGGCTTCTGAGCATCGATAATAGTTCCAAAGTCATGCATACAACCCAAGAGCTTACAGTTCCATTAATTTAGTGCATTTAAATGTTTCTATATTCAACTACAAGGCGTCCACAAATTTTGAAGTCATTCTCATATTTTCGCCGAAACTGCTGACGATGACTTCAAAATTGTTGTAGATGTTGGTTGTGCTTAATAGAATTACAAAGTAAAACTTACTGAAGCCTTGTTTGAATGAAGAAACAATCCGTGTTGATTGTCTTAACAAAGCTTCTGAAGTATATAAGATATTTGCTTATGTTTCCTGCGATCTCATTARAGAAATTGCTTTGCAGTTCCATGCTGTACTGGAACTGCATAGCAGTTTTCTTTGAAAAACTAATATTCTATAACATTAATTTCAATATTTAAAAATATATATAATTTACTACAAATTGGGTTTATCTGAAGTGATCTTCAGCTGATTATTTCAGAAAGTCTCAATTTCATAACAGTAAGCATTATCAAATGCCAACAGCTCAAAAATATTCATTCAATAATATTTTTAGAAGAAGTATAATACAAAGCTACGACATTCGATGACTTCCGTCAAATTGACATTTAGTCGTTAGTTTTTGTCATAGAATATCGTAACTTTGTGTGCTTAAGAATGTCAAAATTTCGTCTTTACAACTTCTAGCCGCTAAAACGACTTTTTGACAGCGTTCCATTAGACTAACTCAAAGTATCAGGTACCTAAAAGTAGTTTTTATAAGCTTTATGAAATGTGAGATTTTTGATATTTACCAAAGAGAAAATATTTATAAATAGTTAAGTGAATATATTTTTCTAAGCTAGAGATATATTGTAATACATTCAACAGGAGCTAGTCATTTCCTAACTTTATAGACTTTAGAGGAGGTTAAAGTTTGGCGAGAGTTTGGTGAGTACAAAAATCAGTTAATACAGGTTGTAAYGTAATGAAATATTTACGTAGTTATCGTAATAAATGTACACTGATAAAAATAAAGAGCGAGAAAGAAGAATATTGTATTCARTTTCTTATTTAAAAGAGGGATCTTTGGATCCTTAATTCCAACCTAGAAAAACCAGCATATTATGAAATTTAACCTTTTCTCTGGTCTCTTCTCGCTAAGTTGGTTCTCTTATACCTCAAGTGGTTTGAAATGTGATATTGTAACTTGGAGAGAAAAATACTAAGAAACATTTAAGGAACCGCAGCGCAAGTCTCTCTAAGCAGCAAAACAAAGTTGAAAGCTCCTTAGAACTCATAATTATTTTTTCCTTGCGCCACTGCTGAAAAACCAGGAAATCGCTAAATGCTATCAGTATCCGTATTAATCGATTTTTGAGAAAAGAAAAGATAGCGTTTGTTAGTCTATAAATTAGGTAACTGTATTGACTTTTAAATGCGATAAACAATCTCGTTACGAATCAACGATATTCTGAGTGGTGATCTAGAACCAATTTCCGCAGACAAGCACGGAGAAAAATATTTACTTTAACGAATTATAAACAGTTTGTATGTTTCTAAATCTAAAGAGGTGATGAAAATATAGACCGAGTGGTGCAATTACATATTGGAGAAATATATTTTATTATATGCCGGTAAGTAAGTATAGTTTAGTATTTTTAGGGACCGCAAAGTATTTTGCATTGGATGGAGATAAAGTAAAAAAAGTCTAACTATCTAAGAATGCTATTTCTTTACGATTATTGTATGTAATAGTCATAGTCATGTYCAGCAAGTCAAGAAGGTGATTTCCATAATCAAAAGCGATAAAAGGTTTTAATAGTGAAATCAGATGGACGATGGAGTCATGTGCAAGTCAAGAAAGTTCTGTGCGTGCCATTTACTTGGGAGTGGCCAAAAACGATTATTTTACATCGCTCAAGCAGCTCCCGACTTCCAGCCCTAAACCAAGAGTCCTCTGGGTAGCCAAAGAACATCCGTTTGAAGGCGAACTAAAATGAGAAGACCATCCCTATTTAGGGGTGTGCGCTGGGCTTGCGACCTGCCACCTAAAAAACGCCCGCAGGGAAAGTAAACAACCATGGAATGAGAGCCCCCCCTTTGATGACGTGCAAAAAGAAGAAACGACTGCCGAGCTRTTCTTAACTCGTCTATAACCACGTAAGCGGATTCTACGCCAGTAAAGATGAAAAAGATGGACGAAAAACCAGAACGAGTTTGGATGCTTTCACGAACCAGCTACCGAAGAACCTAAAACGGAGGGAACTTTCTACGAGCTGTAAAAACATTGAAGAGGAAATGAAAACCCTTGACGATATTACAATTACAAGTTCTAGTAAAATTCTAACGATTTTTGTTATTTATAAATTATTAGTTTTTCGCTGGCGAGTCCTTTAATTCCTAAATGCACGGTAGATAGTTTTTTTCTATTCAACACACGCACACACACAGTCTGGTATGCCTAACGATGTAAGTCATTAAATCGACAAACAGTTTTTTTTTTACTTTTGTCCGTCCGCAACAATAACAGTAAAATCAGTAGCAACAACAACAATAACAACAACCCCAAGAACAACAGATTTCGACATAGTAAAGAAACGTCAAATTCAAATAAATAATAATAACGAGCAGCCTCGCTCTGTGAGCAGGAATATTGCGGACCACATACGCGCRWACACAACGGCCTSTTCGGCGGATACAACATACACACGAACCTCTTGCTCGGCTGCATGAGTGTACCAGTGCAATTCGTTATGGGGTGAGTTAGCCAACCAGCAGTCAGTCAGTCAGTCAATAAACGTGTGTGTGCGTATGTGTGTGTATGTGTATGTGTGAGYGGATTGCAGGAAACAATAGGAAACTTTACGATTTCACGTCACCTGCCACACACAATGGCCGGGCGCTGAATTACAGATTTGCCCTAAACATCATACAAAACATCACTACACACAAACGCTCACATGCACGGGGAAATCACTTAGCCCGTCAGCGTTTGAAAGAAAGAATGCRACTCGTGAAACATGAGCACTGGACCCGAAAGACATGAATGCCACTCAAATTATTTAGTTGACTGCATCGACAAGAGCCGACAGCACCGAGCGAAGCGGTTGAGAGATGATTTTGAAAAAAAAAAAAAATTGCAGATTTTAACATTTCGCTGAATTCGCAGGGACTGGCTGGCAGTTACCGAGGATGRGGGAACTAATGTGTGGTAAAATTTGCTATCGTAGGTAGTCGCAAAGACTTCTCTTCTTCAGCATAATGCTGCACTTATTAAATAAGACATTAAAAGCTCCTTTTCCAAAGCAGAAAGCTTAACACTTACACACACCGTCGGCTGCCCGGTTGGTAGTAAAAATTTTGCCTGAAACTGCGGTGCTCAAACAAGTTGCAAAACAGTGATTATTCCAAKCGAACGCTCTGATCCACATTAGAATGCACTGGAGCCGACAAAGTGTGCACAACTTCAACACAAGGCGCTCGGCTATTCTAAGCGACACAAAATGCCATTTGCGAGGTTTTGTCAAAGGTGTTAGGATTTATCTTTGTCATCATTCACTGAAATCCATACAACAATCCGCACACACACATACTCCCATATACCGATGCACAGCAGGACAGATTTAGGATTGTCAGGTCGCTGCATTAACGGTGAAATAGCAGGGGTTGCGAATCGCATTCTGCTCGAAACSAAAATGAAAGGAAATAAAACGAAAATAAATGAAATAAAAGCAGGCTTGCATTGAGCCATGCGGGGTAGATTCTTATCCGCCAAATTACGTCTGATCCGTTACGAGGCGGCTCGTCTTTCAGTCTGAAGTTTTTTAAGTTTTTCACTTTTCGCTTTTCGCTGAGCTGCTGTTGCGCGGAAGTGTATGTTAATGCATTTGAGTTGAAATTATTAATAGAAAAAACAATTTTCCGATTTTAATGGAAYGATAAGAAAACCAAAGGGAAACAAATTACTATCCAACATTTACATCGCATTTGTGCCAATCATCCGGCTCGCTGATACTTTTGGGAATTAACTTGATCACTTTGCTATTGCTGTTATTATTGTTATTGTTACGGCTTATGGCGCAGAGATTGATAATAGCGGTGCTAGTATGACTGGCGATTTGCACTTTCAATGCATAACGGCAAATCCGTGCGCAAACACACACAAACCCGTAACACTAATGCATTATTCAACAGCAATTAAGCGGACAAACTTGTTGTTGATTTTTTCGCTGTGGCCAMCAATGGCACTTGAATCAATCAACGTATACTTTTTGGCGAATTCCTCTCCGGTTAATGGAGGACAGCGTCGAGGGGAGCTCTCGGTAATGGAATATGTATGTGGAGTAATGCCATTGTAATGGAACGCATGCGTGTATGTGTGGGAAAGGCTGTGATAGTGCCGAAGGGTTACTTGTTAATTTACTTCTATTTACTTTTCATATTTATCATAAAATTTTTGCATTATTTACTTTTTGTTATGCACTTTTACTCAAAGATAATCGCCAAATTGCAAAAAAAAATGCGGAAGTCTCAGACCACTGAAATGAGCATGAAAAATATGTAAAGATGGTCTTCTGATTTGAGCCAATAAGAAATACTTTAGAGAGAAAAATGGATCGATGCTCACGATCTTGATCTTTATAAGGGCTGATTTTTATAATTGAAATACTTAAAAAATACCACATTATGCTTGTTATAGTCAATAGTTGTCTTCCGAGCCATGGAATTCTTTTCATGAGTTCAGACCAAAGAAATGGCTTGTGGATATCACCTTTGTCTGAAACAGTTTCAAAATTATGTCAGCGGGATAAAAATCGAAGGAACAAAAAGCGCGGGATTGGATACAATTGAACAGTGAGGAAGAAAACTTTAGCATTGAATTTTATATACTTTGAAGACTTAAATTCAATATARTGACTGGTAAYTGGCGAATARCACTTGTGATATTCTGYTCCAARACCTGAATCGAAGTGMGATTGTGCACATAGACTCTAGACTTTACACACCCCCACAGAAAAAACCTAATAGCGTAATATCACACTGTCTTGGTGGCCAATCGATTGACGCAAACCGTGAAATGCTTGTCGAAGTTTTCTCACAATAAATCCATTGATTGTTGCGATGTGGGGGAAATGGCACCGCCTTGTTGAAACCAAATATYGCCTAGATCACGAGCTTTCATTTCAGACACCAAATAGTCGGTTATCATGGGACGATAACGGCAGCTAGCGACGGTTACGTTGTCACCGAGATCCATTTTGAAGAAATATGGACCGATTATTCCAGCGACCCACAAACTGCACCAAACCGTTGTTTTTTTCAGGTTTGCTTTTCGTACCAAATGGGGCAATTTTGCTTATTTAGAASGGGCCCTCATTGCTGAACAAAAATTTAGCTCGAAAACTTTGGAAGGTTCCAATAATGAATGCTGGGTCTCAAGCTGGGTGATGGTGTTGCGAGTAGTATGYTTAGTASGCMGATTATGATGACCATAYTACGTTGAGTGMAGCGCGCGAACACATTCTTTACAGATCGATTTGTAAACTTGTTTAATCGAAAGTCTTTCCTTTTGGAAATGCCAAACAACACAAAAATTATACAATATGACAGCTTCTCACGATTGCCGCGTGATCTGTCAAAAAAGACTATACCAAAAAGTAATTACTCGATAAATTCGAAAATTATTCAATATTTTTACGGGTCACTCCATTGCAAAGAGTGATAAAGAAATATAAAAAACAAACTAAAACCATTTATTAGTAGAAACTTGAACAATAACTGTGTAAACATGACATTTGGCGGCGTTACGAATCGCCAAACAGTTCCTTTAAAACAGAACAAAGTTCATGAAACGCTTCATTTGCGAAAATGATGAAATAAAATTCATAGAAATTGATATTGATGCGCCTTAACCCGGTTGCAGCGTAAGTTCAATCCGCAGGATCAAAGTGTCAGCGCACCAATAAATAATTTCGCAACAAATGAAGCGAGCAAGTGGCGAAAATGCTACTTTGATACACTCGCGTGCCTATTACCCGAATGGCAAAAAAC